TTCTATCCCTCTGTTAATGCAGCCTAGCATTGTGTTGGCCTTTTTGGCAGCTGCAGCACACTGCTGGCTCATATTTAAATGATTGTCCACTAGGACTCCGAGGTCCCTCTCACAGTTACTACTATTGAGCAAGGTACCCCCTAATCATGTTCCATGATTAGGCTGTTGTTAGGCTCCCTTCTAGCACTGATGATGTTATCTAGTATGGGTAATGAGACGTCTGCCAGAAAACCACCGAGCTCAGATAGCACCAAGGATCCCTCCGTCTCCAGTCTTTTAGGGGTGGGAACCACATGAAGGTGGGTAGAGGGAACTAGAAGAAAAGTCAAAGGAGAAAAATAAACACGGGGGTGAAAAAGGCACAGTACCTTTGGCCTCTTGTACAAGTGCATTTTTCTACTGGGAGTACATTTGGCATATCTTGACATGCAGCTAAGAGTTACAACCATAGAGTAAGATAATTTATGACGGGGCTTGGAAATGCACAGGCTTTGCCATCTAAGAATTAAAGGTTGCCAACACGGTCCCTGTGGAAGGCCTCAGTACACTTCCAAAATGTAATTATGTTTTTGAAATGCCTGAGCATTTGCGACCTTACCAAATCTCACCAGACTGCAGCATTTTTCCATGAGATCTTGAAAACCTTTACACAAGAATGTGGTGACTTGATTGGTCTCATGAAAGAGCCATAAGCTAAGGTCGTTACTGTCATGATTTGCTCATATAATTTGGAATTTTCCCCCCCAAAAAATATTTTGGGGGTGGAGGGACTCAGCACCTGAAAAGATGGATGATGTTAATCTAATCCTTCTTTTGGCAGGAATAGCAGATAAATTGACAAACGTGCAGTAATCAGACTGGGTTTTTTTTTTCCTAATGACTGATCATTCATGGATAACAACTGCCCAATTTAATTGAGAATGAAGAGTTGCAAGAAAAAAACAACCACGAGGTGCTGCTTCTGTGTTTTAAGGAATAAAACTGTGCACATTCAGGCGGATCTGCACCATCCTTCCATGGAGAGATTCACACAAGCATCTAAACCACCTTGCCTCCCTCTGATGCTCTCCATTGGTGGTAGGACTCCAACTCCCATAATTCCTGACCCAGACGAAGAAGCCCAGACTGAAAAGGTTTGTGGTAAAAATCCAAACACTAGCTTTGCAGCCAAATTCAGTGATGGTAATAAAATAAAATAAAATAAAATAAAATAAAATAAAATAACAAAATATAAAATAAAATAAAATAAAAATAAAATAATAAAATATAAAATAAAATAATAAAATAAAATAATATAATAAAAAATAAAATAAAATAAAATAAAATAATCTATATAAATAAAAATGTAAATGTTCGTTTGTTCAAAATCTTAAATCTCTGAAAGTTCTTCACCGGTTGCTTTGAAATTTTGACACAATGTTGCATTCGAATACGCGTGTGTTTTTATATATCTACTATTATATAGATGTCACACCTGTGACAGGTAAAAACATGCTTTTTTTTGAAAAACAGCACCATCTGTTGGACGTAAATTTAACCAGACTGAGCCACAGCAATGCGTGGCCAGGTACAGCTAGTATAAAATAAAATAATAAAAAATAAAATAAAATAAAATAAAAAATAAAATAAAATATAAAATAATAAAATAAAATATAAAATAAAACAAAATAAAAATAAAATAATAAAATAAAATATAGACTTAATAGCAAAATTCAGAAAGCACAATCAAGTGACAGTGATGAAGCTAAATCTGTTAGGGCAGGAGCAGCCAACGTGGTGCCTTTTTAAAAGTTTGCTTTTGGGTCTTAAACATTTGAAAGATACCAGGTTGCTGATCCACAGCCTTCTAGGGCATTCCTGTTCCCAAAGCATGCTCTGTGCAAAGCTGTGGTAAAACTGCAAGGTTAGGAAGGCAAAACCATGCAAAATGTTAGATTCTGTATACATACTAAGGCAAGTCAGTTCCTACAATGAACAGAAAAAGCAGAAGGGGTTTGGTTTGCAGATGAAACTACTGAAAGAGACAAAGGGGGAATCAAACTGCTTCGCAAAATATCCTGATACGCATAAAGCTTCGTTCAAGCGGTTAGAAAAGAAAGGCACTAAATATAGACAGGATTAAGAAATGTTAATCACATCTCCGGGAGTAAGTCACAGTGAGTTTTCCATGGTAACGTGAAATGTAAGGCATCAGTAGGTTAATGTAAGCCTAGCTAGGTGCATTCAGGTAGTCCTCGACTTATAAATCAGCATTCAACCCAAAATTTCTGATGCTAAGCGAGACAGTTGTTAAGTGAGTTTGCCCCATTTTACGACCTTTCTTGCCACCGTTGTTAAGTGAATCACTGCAGTTGTTAAGTTAGTAACACGGTTGTTAAGTGAATCTGGCTTGCCTATTGACTTTGCTTATAAGAAGGTCGCAAAAGGGGATCACAAGACCCCGGGACATTGCAACCATCATAAATACGAGTCCGTTGCCAAATGTCTGAATTTCGATCATAGGATCCTGGGGATGCTGCAATGGTTGTAAGTGTAAAAAAGGGCCATAAGTCACTTTTTTCAGTCCCACTGTAACTTTGAACGGTCATTAAACAAACTGGTGTATGTTGAGGACTATCCGTATCCCAAAACAAAGCGATGTTCAACTAGTTTCCTATTGTTTGTAAGAAAAACCCCATGCTATTAGGAACTCAGCTCAGATATTACAAAACATTCCATATTACTGTTAATTTCCTATAACTAAAACAACTAAAATGGAAACGTGGAGAGATTTCTCCTCTCAGACTCCATTTAAACCTAAGCTTGCTGTTTCATTGTTTAGTCATTTATCTACCTCTGTGGGAGTAACCTTTGAAAAATAAAACTATTGAAGTTAGACAGTTACGTGTAATTGCTGCATTGCTTTGCAAAAGTGATTTTTTTTAAAAAAAAAAAATCCTACACACAAAGGTCTAGCTAGATACTGGAAAAGAATAGATGACGTGGCCTCATTGGTGTTCAAAAACACTTTCTAAACCAGTGTTTCTCAACCTTGACAGTTTTAAGGCATTGCTGGCTGTGGAATTCTGGGAGTTGAAGTCCACATGCCTTAAAATTGTCAAGGTTGAGAAACACTGTTCTAAACTCTATTCACAATAACTCAGAGGAAATACGCCATACCCCAGTTTAAACGGGACTTCTCGGGACACATAATTTATAAAACAGAACAGAATAACAGAGTTGGAAGGGACCTTGCAGGAAAGCATTTCAGACAAACCATTGTCCAATCTCTTCTTAAAAACTTCCAGTGTTGGAGCACCCACAACTCCTGGAGGCAGGTTGTTCCACTGATTAATTGTTCTAACTGTCCTTAGTTCCAGGTTGGTTCTCTCCTTGATTAACTTCCATCCATCGCTTCTTGTCCTGCCCTCTGGTGCTTTGGAGAATTGGTTGACCCCCTCTTCTTTGTGGTTGTTTAAGACAGTTACAATGAACCAGTTCCCATGGAAAATCAAATTGTATAGCCCTTCCCCTAACAAATAAAGAAAATAATAATAAACAATAATTTTGGTAGCCTGCTGAATCATATTTAATCTTAATCCCTTGGTCATTTTGGACAATGAAGACCCCAGAAGCAGCAACAGTTTGCAATAGTAACACATTTTTTAAAGAAACTTATAAAATACTCAGCCAGCTTTATAGAACTATTTCTCTGGCTTGATATTTGTTTATTTACTTTTTTAAAGGAGAGTAACGGTGTTTGGGGATGTCATTAGAAAGCCTCAGTGGGATCGGGTGTGCAATTTCAGAAATGCTGGAAAAGACAGTTTTCCAAAACAAAATAAAAACGTGACTCATATAGATTCAAATGATTGAATTGATGTGAAAGATGATGTCACTTTCTTATGTAAAAATTAGCCTAGAGTAGGTTGTTTTCCTGAACATCAAAGTGGGATAATAAAAGTAGTCCTCAACTTACAACAGTTTGTTTAGTGACCGTTCAAAGTTACAACAGCATTGAAAAATATGACTTATTATCATTTTTCATAGTTATGACCTTTGCAGCATCCCCATGATCATATGACCTGTCTGCTGGATGGTTGCAGCAGGTTTTGGTCACTTCACATGACCCTGGGACACTGTGACTATCATAAATATGAATCAGTTGCCAAGCATCTGAATGTAAATCACAAGACCCTGGAGATGCTGCAACATTCCAGCTGATCGGTGCTTCTTCAGAGCTCATCAGAAGCGCCGGGATCAGCGCCGAGCTCCAGATGGATCCTGGTGCTAATCCTGGCGCTTCCACTGAGCCCTGACAGCCCCGAAGAAGCGTC